CGGTGCTACCTGGGATTGAGAGAAGGGTGATGTGGGTTAATGTAAAACCATCCTTCCTTCCCTATTCAATGCTTCTTTTCTTCTTATTGTGCTATAGCCAGGTGCTGTGATCTCTCACCTGGTTTCCTTAACTCTTGTGACGGTATTTTCACATGTGGATAGTTTTTCAAATTAATGTTTCTGTCGAGGAACAATTGCCAGAGAGTCCTAATCCACCATCTGGCTTCGTCCCTTTTCACTTACTTTGAAGCCTGCAGAGGCAGCCAACCTTGGCCTTTACTGATTTGGTCACCCTGCTCTCATGTGTTTTCACTGAAGGAGAATTTTCATCACATGTCTGGACCGATCAGTGAGTACGGGCCCAGGGCCAGTTTGAGTGCCCTGGTTTGGTTCGCCATTTATACAAAATTATAAATCTCAACCAAATAAGGAACTACTGGAGTTGCTGAGTATAGTGACTGAAAGTCCAAATGCCATCATAACATCAGAACGCTGGCCCCTCACTGACTCTCTGCACTATGGGAATTGGTGCCGGGATCCCAATTCTTTCAGAATATGCCAGAAATAGGGACAGGGAGAAATGCTGAAAAGGGGAAGACAGTACCTCAAAAAAGGATCCATTTCTGACAACAGATAAAAAAGGCAACCATAAAATCTGGTGACATCGGTCAATAAATAATACAACCTCATGATATATGCAATATAATATTATGTTTGTTTCAAGACTTTATAGTTTCTATTACACTTTCACATTGGAGTAAGCAAATTTGGAACTGAGTAAAAAAATTGCATCTTGTGTATGATTAATTTTTGGACAAAGCTTTGTAACTGGGATTCTCTTCTGCACACATTAAGATGCAAATATTGTCCACCAGCCATTCCTCAGAGTGCAATATTTTACAGTAAGAATAGAAACTCTAGAAGTCTGAGCCAATTGCAACCAAGGTTCCTGTTCATTCTTCTGTACCATGCTTTCTTGCCAACTAGATGAATTAATGCTGGACCTCAAGTCACCTACATGATAATCAAGGAGCTGTTCAGATATTAATAGACTCTGACTCATACAGCTAAAAAATATGCTACTGAATTGTCTTATCCTAAAAAAAGTAGAAGTAGCAATTAATAAACTAACAGAAGAGTAAGCCCTGAGTCATTCCAATCTATCCAAATTTCACTTTTCACTGTCCAACTCCAAAACTCCAGAAAAGAGGCCTTAAATGGGATAAAATGGTCAGGAAGAATAAGGTTTTCTCCAGGAGAGAAATGACAATGTTCTAACTATCTTAAAGCATTTTGGTTATTGATGGTCCTTTGTTTTTCAATGTCGTCTTTGCAGCATACCTTTTGCTTAAGGCCAAGACACAAACTCCCAGGGAAAACTTTAGAAAGTGTTGCTACTGATACTTTTTACATGGTTATCAAATCTCAGATTTTCAGAACTGGCAGAGATTACAGAGCTGTCTGACCTGATTTCCTCATGTTGTAGGCAATAAATCCAACTGATCTCCCTAAAAAACACCCATGGGCAAAGATCCCTGGATTAAATGTCTATTATTGTACTTCCAGGGCACAGCACAGTACCTGATACATGGCAGAACTCAATAAATATTTGTTGACTGACCTACTGATTGGCAGAATAAGTTCACACACATAATTAGCCGTAGAGATCTCTGGTCTTCTGGGTATCAGTCCCATTCTTTACTTGATGCCCATTAAAAATTTATCACAACTCATCATAATTTTCAGGGCAAAACTTTCAGGTATTCAAATGAGCAGCTAAGAAGTATCTTCAGTCTTTTTATCAAAGGTTGACCAAGGGGGAACTCTGGGTTGGAACCCATAGGCTCCTCTGTTCAGACTTCCTAAAGGAGATAACTTTTGTGTCTATACAGGGGACAGAATAACAGTAGAGGGAATATTTACAGTCTCTTTACCTAACTACATACTTGGTATTAGGGATGGTGAAGGGATAAGTTTCCACCATATGTCACATAGAAAAATACTATAAATTCCTATCTCAGCAGCTCATTTCCTGAACCCTCTACTTGACTTCATGGAAGAGTTTCAGAGAAATCCTTTAAGTAAGGCGTGAGAACTGTGGAACTGCTATTCAAAGATAATTCTTTCCCACAAGAACAAATGGGATAAAAAGATGTGACAACTGTACATTTATCTTCAGACCTGATAAATGTCTACATACACCTCTCCAAAGGTAGGCTGGTGTCACTATGGGCACATGATTTCTGCTGATGGAAAAGTACTGAAAAGTTTAGAGGATTCCTAGTCTTGCTTCTTCCCCCTGGAATGGTAATCTGGAAGTTTGTGCAGAGGTTTGGATACAAACAGAATTCTTCTTGATCCACCTTCATCACCCACCTGGCTAGCCCAGAGCTGGGGCAGTGGCCTAATGCAGGGTTAGGAAGCTTAGCCATTAATGCTTAGAATTTTAGAGACAGCATGAGGGAAACAGAAGGTCTCTAGACTATTTTTGTCTCCTGCTTCTCAGGTTCTTTCTCTCTTGAATGAGGGAATAAAACTAGATTCCTGTCCAGACAAATTTTGTTCCTACGACACCTAGAACAACGTTTGCTGGGTCCTTTCTGACTGTCCACCTCCCTGTGTGCAGTCTGGTGAGCTTCGGCTACTCCTTTATTGCAAGACAATATGCTCTACGAACTGCATGCCTGCATCATTTGGGCACAGAGGCAGCAAAGGACTCCAAATTCACAAACAGCACTCCACTTGAAGAGACTGTTGAGTGACCATCTTGGTTACTTAACTTCCACTTGGAGGTTGTACCTTGATCTGCATTCTTTCAACCAAGGATGGTCTTTCCTTAAGGGATTTTCGTGTAGCTTCTGGGAGAACAGGATTTTCTGTTGTCAGTTTCCTTTGGGAAAATGGAACTGTCAATGGAAATGTCTTTTACTGTGATTCAAGTGGGACTTTGTGATGAAGAGTTTGAGGCAATACTTTGAGAAAGGCTTTACTACACCGACTTTTCTCTGGTATGCTCTGATCTCACTTTAAAGAACTCCCTCTAGTTCTTTCAGTTTTACATCTTGTCTTTCTTGAGTCTGGGTAGCCAACAGACACATGAAAAAGTGCTCAACCTCACTCATCATCAGAGAAATGCAAATCAAAACCACACTGAGATACCACCTAACCCCAGTAAGAATGACCATCATTAATAAAACAAGCAACAACAGATGATGGCGAGGACGTGGAGAAAAGGGAATGCTTCTACATTGCTGGTGGGAATGCAAACTAGTGCAATCTCTTTGGAAGAAAGTGGTGATTTCTGAAAGAACTAGAAATTGACCTTCCAAATCACCCAGCAATCCCCCCACTGGGAATACACCCAGAGAAACTCAATTCATTCAACCAAAAAGATACTTGCACACGCATGTTTGTTGCAGCTCTATTCACAATAGCAGAAACATAGAACCAACCATGCTGCCCATCAAAACTGGCCGGGATAAAAAAATGTGGTACATATACACAATGGAATATTATGCAGCAAAAAGAAGGACAAACATATGGACTTCACAGCAACTTGGATGGATTTAGGGTCGATCATATTCAATGATCTAACACAGAAACAAATAACCATATGCTCTCACTCATAAGCAGACCTTGAACAATGACCATAATACTATAAGAAACGGATTGACAATAGTGGGAAACTGCCAGGGGAGGTGGGGTGGGATGGGCAGTTGAAGGAAACTGCCAGGGGAGGGAGGGACACACCTCATCAACAAGGGTACCTGCATAATGAACATTTGTAAACCTACCCCTGAATTGTACCTCACATCTTTAAAATAAAGAACTCTCTCTAAATGCAGTGGTTTTCATGGCAGGCTATACATTTGGCCCGTGGGAGGAGTTTACAAAAGCTGAGATTCTACCCAAGACAAATTAAGTCTGATTTGTGGGAGCTGTCACCCAAGCACTGATATATATAGAAATTGACCTTCCATGTGTGTGTGTGTGTGTGTGTGTGTGTGTGTATACACACATATATATATAATATATATAAATGCATGTGTGTGTGTGTGTGTGTGGGTGTGTGTGTGTGTGTATGTGTGTGAGCACATTTTAGATTGTGTATCCTCTCGTTACTGCCTTTGCTATGGTGGTGTGAAGATGTGACACTGGGAGGCTCTGCAGCTAGTCTGGAACCCTGACAGTTCTGACAATACTGTCCTCAAACCATACACAGTCTAGCTCCAGAGTCTTCAGCTCCAATAACTCCTTTCTCCTTGGTCAAGTCTGTTTGTCAGATAGGCTGACTAAAACCAAAAGCACTTGCCACAAACTCATCGAGCCAACCCTGGTGCAGCTCTTTAATGATTTCCTATTGGTCTTAGAATAAACAAAACCACTTAACATGGTGAGAAGGTACAATGGGCCCTGGCTGCTCCCAGCCTACAGTCCACCTATCACAACCCTTTCCACCCCAGCCAGCACGGCAGCACATCCTGACTTCTGTGCATGTTCTTCATCTTGTCTTCAAAGCTCTTCTCTCTAACTCCAGGATCCTGTTGATGTTTCAGGATGTTTCTTTCAGCAACAGATTAGAACTCTCTAGTCTGGAAAGCCTTCTCCAACATCCTGAATTTAATTATTTCTTCCTCCTTTATTTCCTCCAAGTACCTGGACTTGACTTATCACAGAGCCTATGATTCTGCATTGACGTTGTCTACGCATCCATGCCTCTCTCCCTCTGCACTGAAATCACCCGGAAGGCAAGGACTATCTTCATCTTGTTCCTTGCAGCATCTCCACAAGGACATTTGGGATAAAAATGTGTAGCACACATAATTAAAAGTGAAGTACAGTTAACATGAATGAAGCTAACAGGCCCATTCGTTTATATGGGAGAACTAAGAGCTCAGTCTTTCGCCAAATGCACGATTTGCCACAAAGGATAAAAGGGATGATGTGTCTTTCTCGTCATGCATGCCGAAAGCCCAGATCATAAGGAGATCACACATTACCTGATGGTTTTGATCATGCCAAGACCCATTTCGACACAGCAGTGGGCATGGTCTTGGCGTGGCTCAGGAAGGCCGGAAACGCAGTAGTAGCAGTCCCCCAGGATTTTAATACGAAGGCAATGATGCTCCTGGAAGGAACAGAATGGAAAGGAAAGAACTGTGTCAGCAGAAGGATCAGGTCTTCAAAAAGTCTTGGGAGAGAAGCAAACGGGGTGAGGTGGTTTGCACCTTGGTGTCAGGACCACCTACCTTCGAAGTGCATGTCTACTATCCTCTTAGGAAATTAGGAGTGTACCCTAAATGGGAGCTCAAAGGGCCCATAGGTAGAGTGTAATCATGAGTAAAAACTGGATTTTGAGCTCAACAGCTACATGGCCATATCCAAGACCTGCCATACGCTAGCTCTACACCTGTACACCCATCCTATTGACAGGCCCGGCGAAAAGTGCTCAGTGTTCCAGTCCCCGGAAATGCCTTTCTTCTAAGAACACGTCTGAGAATTAGCAGCTTGTCTTTAGCTCCACCATAAGCAGTTAAAAATATAAATCACTTAGGGATATCTACTATTTTAAGTTTTCTCGCAACTGGGATATTGGCACCTTGAGAGGAAGGGCTATGCTTTATACAACTTTTTATTCATTTATTCATTCATATGCTCGTTCATTGAACAAAACAAAACATAAATCAGGAATCTATAATACGGCAAACATTGTCCCTGACACAAAGACGATTAATAATAGCTCCTATTAAGCATTATAAATTAAGCAGAGTTCATTCTCACAACGATCCTGTGAGGTAGATACGATTTTTATACTCATTTCAGTGGTGAGAAGTAGTGTAGTTGTGAGTTTGGTGGATTCTCAATTTGAGGACACAATTCTTGAAAGTTTCAAAGAGCAATACACATCCAGGAAATGGCGTATACTTTTATGTTGAGTGGAAAGCAGTTAGATGTAATAGGTTTTTTTTTGTTTTTTTGTTTTTGAGTTGGAGTCTCACTCCGTTGCCCAGGCTGAAGTGCAGTGGCATGCTCACGGTCACCCCAGTGTCAACCTGCTGGGCTCCGACCATCTTTCTGCCTCAGCCTTCCAAGTAGTCAGAACTACAGGTGTGCGCTACCATGTCTGGCTAATTTTTGATTTATTGTAAAGATGAGGTCTCGCCAAGTTGCCTAGGTTGTGTAATAGGCTTTAAAGGAAAGAGAACTTGAGGCGGGATAAAAGGGGTGCCATGTGCACTGGCTTAGGAATCACATTGCAGAGGATCAAATCTCAGACAAGCATCCCCTCCTGAAGCTGCTGCATGTGGGTTTCAATTCCCCATGTATGACAAATGCCAAAATCCCTTCCTCACTGTTGCTTGAGTCTTTGGGAAAATTTAGCTTCCGATCTTCGGATGCCTCATCTGTGAAATGGGGACAGAAATAGGACCTGCCTTGTGGTGCGATTGTGAGGATTGAGTAAGGTGATGCATGTGCATTAGCTAAGCATGGTGGCTCATGCCTATAGTTCCAGCGACTTGGAAGGCTGAGGCGGAAGGATCGCCTGAACCCAGCAGGTCGAGACTGCGGTGGCCGTGAGCGTGTCACTACACGCAGAGTGAGACTCCAACTCAAATAAAAAAAAACAGGGTCCAGTGGATGGGGCACTAATTGATGTTGCCTCTCTCTGTGATGATGATGACAGACTCCAGACCTTGCTTCTTCATGTATCTACCTCAGGTCACGGACAGGCGACTCTGCTTCTTGGTTTCCTTGGACTGAATGACCTCTAAGATACCTTTGAGATCTGAAGTCCGAGGGGCTTATGGCTCCATGGCTGTGTGGGTGGGGGGGCTTTCCTAGGGAAAGTAGGGTCCCAGAGCAGGAGAAAGAGAGCTGCTGACAGAAAAGGACCCACTGAAAGACCAACAGCACAGTTGATCCCTGTGTGGTGCCAAGCTGTAGGGTGCTGTGCTAGTCTCCTCATCTTATCGGGAGTTGGGCCACTATGTTTGGGGAATAAATGAATGAAATCATTCTCCCAATTAAATATATATATATCTCAGTCAGGGAAAAGAGAATCAGAACTGGCTCAGGTGCCTCCCATCAGATTTCTGGGGCCTCACCAACCTTCCCACATGGGCATAGATGCAATCTTCAGAACTCTTAGAACATGCACACTCACCCAGGATTATTCTTAGGAACTTGTGGTTCCTGTCTATTGCCTACTTCAATGCAGCGAATTTTGCAAGAGAGCTGATGATAAGGTGTGACTGAAGGATCAATAAAAGAAGCTCAAGGCCTTCGGTTGTTTTTTTCAAGACCTCTCTATGTGTCTTGAAAAAAACAAGGCTGGGTGCAGAGGCTCATGCCTGTAATCCCAGCACTTTGGAAGGCTGAGGTAGGAGAGTTGCTTGAGCCTAGAGGTTTGAGACCACCCTGAGCAACATAATGAGATCTTGTCTCTACAAAAGATAAAAAATATTAGCCAGGCATGATGGTATGTGGCTGTAATACCAGCTACTTGGGGGCTGAGAATAGGAGGAAAACTTGAAGCCAGGAAATTGAGACTGCAGTGAACTATGATGTTACCGATGCATTCCAGCATGGGCAACAAAGTGAGACCCTGCCAAAAAAATCCTCTAGAATATCATAGCCAGAATGAAACTTAGAGAGTTCTTTGTTTACTGGTCCTAGCAGTGCCCAGATTTGTGGAGCCTATGGGGCTGTTATCTATGTTTAAAATAATCAGATAGTCTAGGGAATTGTCGTAGGATAAAATTTTGTTTTCTTTTTTGCCGAGGACATATGAAAAACCCATCAACAAACACCAAAAACAGCAACTCATTTATGACCTACTTTCCCCATCACTTATAAAAAATAAGGACATTTTTAACATCAAAAGAAATAGAAAGACATATCCTCAGAATAAATAAAAGTTCTTTACTTAAATAGATGCAACATTGTAAAAACTCACTACATTGCTCCTACCTTTTAAAAAAATCTTATGCCCACAAGTAAGCATGTCTCAATTTTTTGTCTCTGAAGGATATTTTGAAAACCAGTGTTCTAATTGCTTATTTTGATTTTTCAGATCAGAACACCGAGTCTGGAAGGCAGGGATTGGTAATTGTATCTGCAAATGGTCTTTTGGGGCATCAGGCTGGTGTGAGGGACTCATGTTGGTGGGAGCGTGATGTTGTCAAACTCAGGTGCATGGATATGTCTCTCTGTTGGCTATGGGGAGGGATGACTGAAAGGGGAGAGCAAAAAATGCTTTGGTCTAAGAACCAGACTTCTGCATGCCAGTCAGATTTACTAGCTGTCTGACCTTGGATAAGACACTGAAGCCACTGCATGTGGGTTTCAATTCCCCATGTATGACAAGTGCCAAAATAATCTACCTTGTCCTTAACACACAACAGAGTGAGCCTGGCCGTCACTTAGCAATGACAATGACAACGGACATCTGGAAGTAGACTGCTCTGTGGTCAACATGCTGCTCCTTTATCTTTTCTCTTGGAGCTGCACAATAAAACCCTGAACATGGCAGGGAAAGTAGAAGAAGTCCCGTCTGTTTTACAGATACAGAAATCTCACTATGAGAAAGATGAAAAACTCCTGAGCTGGCTGAAAGTCACAGTCGGGACTGGATGTCATATTCACCAACTCCTAATCCACCATCTTTCCATAAAAACAGAGGTGAAAGCATTTTGGAAAAAAGTCTAAGTGTGAAAACGGACTAACAGCTATTGAGCATATACGATGTACCAGGCTATGTGTTAATTGTAGTGCAAGGATCTCACTTGGTCTTCATGTCCTCCTTCCGAGTCATGTGCTGTTTTATGGATGGAGGCCAGCAGGTTTAAGGAAGGGAAGGCCACACAGCAAGAGGCAGAAGGGGAATTTAAACTCAGGTGTGTCTGGCTGTTGGTCTCCAAGCTCTTTCTCTACAAAACTGCAGGAATTATGGCAAAGCCCAGAATGGTAGATCTGACAAAAGTGTGTTTTGGAAGGAGATGATATGAAACAATTTGTTGCTTTTCAGGGGCAGACACCAAACAACAATATGATGGTGTTTGTGTCCAGGGTTTATTTTTCTTCCAAACAAAAGGCAAAGTTGGTATCCTCCATGAAAATCTGTGGGCTCCAAATAAATGATTTTATATATACACATATATGTATATGTACATATATTACATAGAATGTATTTTTTATATAAACATAAAATATCTATAATAAACATAACAGACAAAAGGTCTGGATTCCTATCAGTCAAGCTCTGTCAATTCAGATACATTTTTCTGATTAAATCCTATGAGCTGTCAGATGATTTGACAGTAATATCCCAATAACTTCTTTCGACCAGAAACTGTCTTGGAAAGTTCAAATTAAGGAAGCCAAGCTGCTCTGGAAAATGACACTCAAAAAGAAAAATAGAGTGAGAATTCTCTTACATATTTTACTGAGTTCATCTTATTATAATCCTTTCCTCCTATCTTAATGACTTTGATATTTTAAAAAATCTCGGAAACATTCAAAGAATTTATGAAATCACAATTGTAGACAGCATATGAAACTTAGGGGATCTACACACCAAACTATCAAAGATGGTTATGTTGTTGAAGGATAGAATTACAGGGATGTATAATTTCTGTGTCATGAACATCTTCGAATTTTATACAATGAGGAAATATTACTTTAATAGAAAAAATTAGTAAAAAATGAAAAGTTTCTCAAACAAAAACATTGGTGTCTTGAATATTTAAATATTTAATTTAAATATTAAACACCTATTTTACATAATACTTTAAATATTTAACTTAAAGAGTGATGTTTAAAATCCTGATAAGTTTTATAGTATTTTACTTAATTGTAATGACACAAGTAATATATGAATATGGTGTCCTAGTAAAGATGAGACTGTAGATAAGGTTAAAATTCCCTTGGACAGTCTCTTCTGGTCAAACAAGTCCCTGGAAGTCTGGTCTCCACGCCTCTTCCTCAGAGGCTGCTATGAATTCACATAAACAGGTGCATGTCTATACCCATGTCCTATTTTTCATGCTCTTTAGACGTAAATTCATCATACTGTGTTTATAGATCAGAAACAGGCTTTATTCATGCCACAATATGTCATGAAATTCT